CTACTAGTCAGTAAATTATATCTCCCTGAACAGGCAGTAACTAATAGTTCTGTGGCATTTAGTGATAATAGAGGTCAAACTGGTTGCATGAGAACTTACTTGTGTAATAAAGAACAATTTGTGCAAAACCAGTAACTGGCAGGCGTGTGTCACCCTGATGCTCCGTGTTTAAGCCCATGCTGAAATACCACTTCAAGAACTTTTCTGGTGCTGTTTTGAGATAGAAAAATCTAGGCAAATTCTGGGCTAGCACAGGGCTACCTACACTCACTGGGTCTGGCTGGATCAAGCACAGTCCATCAGCAACTAATCTCCAGCTTGTTTCTTCTTTAGTGGGATGTCTGTTAACACAAGCTTCAGCTAAGTGACAGTCAAGAAAGTGTGTAGAAACCTGTTCTTCACCTTTTAAATGCTTCCAGTTGATTTCTGTTATCTGGACTGGTTGGAAGACAAAAGGGTCACTGGAAACCCTATTCTCCAGAAGTAACAAGGCTTTTCATTCAATCGATAATCTGCTTGAAAAGCAAAAGAGGGTTTTAACTCATTTCAGTACTGATAAAAAGAAACGTGAGATTGTTCTTAAAAGCTGTGACATAGGATATTACTGGCAAAAAGAAGCAGTAAGCCCTACCTCAAATGTAGAGGGTTAGTTCTGTTGTCCCACAAAGGAAAATGACAGAGTCATCACATTTGCTGACCTTTTCTAGTGCACCTTGGTGTCCTCTCTGGGTGACAAAGCATGGTAACATGCACTGTCTTCAAAGCACACAAAATGGAAGGCAAACACCAGACACTATTTGCCTCCAGACTGAGAATCCTTGGTATACATCTTTACTGCAATATAAGATCAGAAACTTCCTAGGGGGACACACTCCAAAGGCATAAATAGTCTGGAGGAGGCAAGTCTATAAATCACTGCCAGTCAGCTTACAAAAAATGTTGTCATAGCTTCTCTGTGGAGGAGTAAAACGATATAAGAAATTTCTTTTATGTACGGACGGCTCAACCATTACACTATTTTAACATCATTTCCTTGTAACCCATCTACACACAGCTATTTAAACATTTGTTATAAAGTATGTATGGGCTGACTCATCCAGCTGAAGAATAAACCTAATTGGTCAAACTTCCAGGACACAGTGTGCTGAGCTATAGAGAATCATAATCTCATCTATTAGGAGATGTGACAAGTTGCAGAAGCTATCTAAAATTCCTGGAAGAGGTAGTGTGAAATAAGAGCTGTTGCCTAGGGACAGTCTCTTCTTTATGATAATTAAAGAGCTCAGATCTGTGCTATTCTGGATGGATGAAAAATATGCATGCATAAGCTTAAGAGTCTGGCTTTGGCTTGCTCATGCGAGAAAGTTGTCTAATAATTCATTAGCCTCTTCAATAAAAGATACCCAAAAGGCAGAATAAAGGGCATCTGTGGATCTGACTGCCATGTTCATACGGTTCCAAAATTTCCCCCAGAGATCCTGCTCTTTTGTATAACTCGGCTACGTAACTCAGAAAACAAGCAAGAACTTGGGAAGAGTTTCCTTCTTCACTGAGAACATTCCAATACCAAGTGACCAGAGGTAGCGAGGAAAGAAAAGCACTTCACAGATTGAAACAGGAATGTCAAAAAAAACCCTAGAGAGGTTATTAGTGGGTGGGGAGCACAGTCATAAATATGTAGCCCAGCAGTATTTTTCCACACTCACTCATAACTCATATTCACTTGGCCCTATTTCAGTTTGAATTTATGATAACTCTAGCCTTTGGGTGAAAAATAAAATACAAGACATCTCACTTCACATTCTCCAGAATGCCAAAGAAGTTCAACAGCAGATAGAAGAGGACCTCCTGGCTATTTCTTTGTACCCTCTCACTGTCCTGTCTCTGTCCCCAGCATACAGGTACCACGTGCTGAGATGTACTGCTCCTCATACACAGATAGTAGAGCTGGAGTAGCAAAATGGCTCACTATCCAAACCCTTGAATTCATGCATTGCCATGGATTCACACTACTTGGGCAGAGGGTGGAAGAAGATGCATTTCCCACACATACTGGAAACAAACCTTGTATTTCAAGTGCACTAAACCAATGCGCCAGCTATATTTCAATGAGCTTTTGGTCTTTCCCTCCATCATTCCTCTTGTAGAAACGGGATGATTTACTTGCTTCTGCCACTGTATTGCTACCAGCATTTTAGCTCAGATATAGATGAACACTTTAATTTTAATCAGTGTGTCAGCAAAAAGGTGTGGATGATATTTCCAATGCACCACATACTGGAAGGCTATACAAAGCAACCAGCCACCAAAAGAAAATATTATTATCTCATTTGTTTTATATTTTTTTAAGCTTTTAAAAGTCTAGTCAGACTGAGATAATAACATTTCCTCTTACAAAAAACAAATATTAAATTATTTCATCAGTACCAGATAATAGGCCTGCTTATAACCAGAGGGCAGTATTTTTAATAACTTCACCAAAAATATGCACTTGTATAAAAATGTGGGGCAGTAAAAAAAAAAGTACAAAAGGTAATGAAATATCACCTATTATCTCAGCTCATTTTTGTCAGGAAATAATATTATAAACCTAATATGATACATAGAAGCCTTATGAATGGCAGGCAGGGAGAGGCTTATAGTCTTATCCAGTATTAAACAAGAGACTGAGTGATTAATAAGTTGACATTGAAGAGCAGAAAATGGAAATCATATGGACTTTAGGGAAAGGAAATAGCTTAAAAATGAAACTGTCATGCTGCCAGGCTGCATAGGAAGAGGCACAGCCCCCATGTCATCCTCAGGGAGCAGCTCAAACCTGTCAGTGCCTCCAGCTCCCTGTGCCTGCTGCTGGGCAGCCCTTGTGCACACAGAGCCAGAGTCGTGGGAGAACTGCACCCAAAACAGGAACAAGATGTTTGAATGCAACAGCAAGTTGGGGGATTGAAGGATGGAGAACAAAAAGATACCCTATAGAAGGATGAGATGAAATGATATTTATCCATAGCAGTGGATTAGGTATAATGCATCTAACTTACGGGCCTCCAGCATACACAGGGTGTAAGAATGCAAAGTTTTTGATTGCTTCTTTAAATAACAAAGCCATATCTTTGGATGGTATAAAAATTTGACCTTTTACTGACCTTCACGTTGCTCAGGGCTGCTTTAAATACCCCATGAAGCACTGTTACTTAAAATACCAACAATAATGCCATTTATTGCAGGTCACAAGCCAACACATCACTTCCAGAAGACTCTACATTTACTGTTGTTTCTAAGGCACATTGTGATTTGTTCTGTTGTTCACACTGGAAAATGTCTGTTGTGGTTTTTAAGACTGTGGTTTTTAAAACTGTAGCCAATTCATTGTTTACTTTACCAGTGCCACCAACAGAGAGTCACTACTGGTGGCAAACAGGTACTACACACGCAATCAGATCAGCGAGGAATTCAGTCAAAATCAACAGCATCCAAGCCCCTGGAAAGTAATTTAGATCACAGTATCTAATGTCTACTGAAAAAATCCCAAACAAACAACAAAAAGCTATAAACTTTCATTCACAGATCTCTTATGAATAACTTATGGCTTTAAATATCCTGGATGAAAGCAACAGAATTGTCCTTGTGAAACATACGCTTGTGTATTTCTGGAAGAAAACAACATAAATGCCCTTCTGTAGTGCTCCAGGAGAGAAGAACTAAACATTTCTCCTTCTAGTGAGTTAAAACAAGTCTTATCTTGAAGTTTATCAAGGAGGAATAGTAACAATTTTTCCTGCATGACATTAAAATTTAAAAAGTGATCGTTTTCTTCTAAATTGCTAGAAAATAATTATAATAAACTTTTCTATTTCTTGCAAAACTAAGAACAACTGGGCCAGCTGAAAGATGATTCAGTTCCTTGAGTCAATCCCTCTTAATTGTCAAGGATTATACCCTTGTATAAACATTTATAAACACAATCCTAGCTTTTCAAGGAGCAGCACTATATCTAGGCATTGCTTAGTATTCATGTTTTCCACTTAAATCATTGATATTTCCTCTGACTTCAGAAATGTGAAATCAGATCTCACATTTTTATCACTCCCATGGTCTGTGGTTTAGGAAAAGCATCATATCTTCTCAATGAAAAAGGAGAAAACACTAAGAGCTATATGCTTGGAGTCTAATTTTAGGAGGAACTGAGGCATTCTAATATGCTGCAGTCAACAGGAACTGAAGGCACTCAATAATTCATGAGTTTCTTTCCATGTTTGAGTAGAGCCTATTGAAAATTTGTTAGGGAAACGATTTTCATCAGAAAATTCCAATCCTGTGAACCAAAACTGCTTACAGAACAGGATATGCTTGGACACTTGTTTAATAGCTCTTCCTTTATCCACCTCGAAATATAACTATACAACAATATTTTAAATTATAAAAGGGTTTCCTGACTACAAAACAAAAGAATTTTAAAGTATTTAACAAATTGTTTGAATTAATCTTCACTGTGATTTAAACACAAATGTTTGAGGGGGAAAAAAAAAAAAAAAAAAAAAAAAAAAGATCTGAACATGCTTTACTTTCAGTTTGGGTTGGAAACCATTTTCAATACTTCTTCCTGGGAAAAGAAAATAATTTGTTACTGTAGATCTAGTTATGAAGGTATTTTCATGCCTGCACTAAAAAAAAAAAAAAAGATCTGAACATGCTTTACTTTCAGTTTGGGTTGGAAAACATTTTCAATACTTCTTCCTGGGAAAAGAAAATAATTTGTTACTGTAGATCTAGTTATGAAGGTATTTTCATGCCTGCACTAAAAAAAAAAAAAAAAAAAAAGCTTTACACTCCTGCTGATAAACCTTTCTTTGACCCTAGTGATGTGTGGAGTGTTGAATTTGTTATGTCTTTACTGTCACTTTGATTCAGTTATTTTAAAATGAATGCCCTTTGCATCAGAAGGCAGCAGAATAACCATTTCTTACCTTTAGTCTTTCTGTTACACCATCAGTGAAACTGACTGTGAATTCAGCAATTTTGGGCACTCTGAGTTTTCCTTTGTTCTTCTGGTCAGGCTGATACTCTGTTCTTGTTTTCACAATAACCTGGAAAATAGCAGCAATTTTAAGGTTTCTGCACACAGCATACGCTTTAGTTTTTTGTTGTTATCTAATCAGTATAAACCATCACCTGGACCTACACAGGTTTCTTAGCAACATACATTAACACAAACATACACTCAGAAACTAAAAGAGCCACATGAATAGTCAAGCAGACATATAGATATAAGACAGTGAGCTCATCATATTGAGCCTTAAAATAGCTGCCAGCAAAACGTTTAATATCCACTTTTGTTAAGGCCAGGTATTTGTATCTTGTGTTAAAAAGGCAGAACATGGAGAATAACAGCTCGTCCTAAAGAAAAGCCTCACTTATTAAAGCCCTGTCCTAACAAGCTCCACTGAAGCCAACTTAAATTTAGACTATTTTGTGTCTCATTTATTCAGGCTCCATATTGTCAATATTAATCTCACAATATCACCTTGGGTTTTCCCCAGATGATGTCAGTGTCATTTGCTGACTAATCTTACAAAAAAGAGGTGTCTTATGCCAATGGAGAAGCCGTAAGTGACTTTTGAATTACCAAAATTGCATTGTCAATCTCCATTAAATTAATTTGTAACCCAGAATGACCCTAAAAATTTAGGGTAAAATCCACCCACTGCAAACACAGAAATGGTAACACACACTGCCAGCTGCTCCCTGAGGGGATAAGCATCAGGGCTGTCCTCTGACACTAACAGCCCTTCAGAGGAGCCAGAGTACCCATCCCATTATACATGAGAATCTTAAAAGACTACCCATGCATGAGCCTGTGCAGCTAACAGCAGTGTGAGAGCATGGCAGCACAGCCACACTGTCTCTATTTGGTTAATGCAAGAGAAGACAAAATGGTCCCATCTCCAGCACTGGGCAGGAGCCAGAGCTCATCCCTGTAGAGGGCCTGTGGCTGTCAGGACATCCCACTGTGCCTCTGCACAGGATTCAATCCAGGACAGCAGCTCAGGGTAGTTTGCCAGGTTGAACAGAAAAGGATAGGAAGAACATCAAAACTCTCAATCCCAGGGCCAACATTTCCTCTTTTTGGCCTTCCATTCTGAGCTGCAGGCCTATGCAGCAATCAGCCTTGCCAAGGTGAAAATTAAATACTCCCGGAGCAGTAACTGGTTCATATCAGACTGACAAGAGTGACTGTAAAGCTCTTTGTTAGAAACAAAAAGTCTTGAAGGATTGAAAAAGATTAAGTGATGCACAAGGTTGAGTTACCAGCTAATGAACTTATTTCCAAATGAAGACAGCAAAGTCTGGTTTGGACCAAAGAAAACCCCAGGTATTTAATCCTCCTGCACTTAATGCCATGTGAAAATCCAAGTGAGAGCAAATCAGCGTGGCGTCATAAGCCAATTTTCTGGATTCAAATGCAAATCATTAAAGGCTGATGAATATTTACATCCTTCAGCAAATCCCTCTCAATAATACTTACTACAGTAGCATTTGCAACATTAAGACTGGAAAAAAAGAGGGGAAAGAAAGTCACCCAAATATTTTTGTATTAGCATTTTGGAACTCAGGAATTCTGATCACACAACATAGACAATGGGATATGACACATGGAGACAACCTTGATTCCACAGGTTTGGGATGAATCCTAACCCTGCTCTGACCCTGCTATTGAACCTAATTCAAATACGCTCTCAAATGCAGCCCAGCACACTGCCAACCAAAGAAACCAAAGATCCCTTTCCACACAAGACAAACTGGCCCAGGTTAGCTCTGAGTTGTGAACAATCAGTAACTTCATTTTCTCACTCAAAAGGAGGCAAGAGTGCTCAGGACTCTATGAGCTGGCCCCTAGCTTTCCAGCCTCCCTGTTGGCCTTTTGTACACCCAGTACCAGTAAATTACAGTATTAGCCACTAACAGCTGCCAGTGTTCAGAAATGGCACGCATTCTGTTTTCAAACCCACCAGTCACAATACCCTGTTCTCCCAAATTCACACTTCCTGCTTCATCTCAGTTGCAGACAAAATCTTTAAATATGCATTATACCTTCTCCACAAACTCCAGTGATAGGTTTTAATGAAGGACCATGATGCCAGAATATAAGGAAAAAAAACAAACTTAAAAGCTTTGTTTCTTGATATAATTTTATATTCTTCTATTCTTTGTCATTAATGCCAGTTTTCTTATGAGTATTTTTTACCTGTTGTTACGTTCAACCAATAATGATACAAGCAGAAAAGTTTGAATTCTGCCGTCAACAGGGATACAGCACGAGACTGAAAGTCAGCCCACATGGCCCTTCACGAGCACCAGATCCAAGTCCAGCAGCAATGCCTGGCACCTCTGTGAATAAGGAAGTGAGCACAGTCCCCTGCCAGATCAGAAGCTACTTGAAAGCCAATTTGCTGACTGTGCCAGCAGCGAGATGTGTGTGTGCACAGAGCCAAACCTGCTGGTCAGTGTTTTGCTGAGAAATTTGCAGTGGTATCAAAAATGCCTTAGAAGAGGAGGTAGGAAGTACCTTTGATAAATGCCTTTTGGCATTGCAAAAGCTAAGTATCTGCTCTCCAGAAGTATCTTTGTCAGACACCTGATGGAATTATTCAGCAGAAGAAAGACAGTAAGGTCTCTTGAAAGGAGAGCACAAGAAAAAAAAAGACAAAGCACAAACAGAAAATTGAAAACCTGTAGTGTGGGCCTTCCATGCAATATTGTAGCAGTAACAATAAAAATACAATTTTGCTGAGAGCACAGAGTGCACATTTAGAACAGAGCTACCTCTTGTTCAGTCACTTACAGTCTAAATAAATAAGCCTAAGCATGGGTAACAAATCTGCAGCAACATTCACGCCCTCTCCATCCAACAAGCTGCCATCAGGAAGCCCACACAAATGCTTCTAGAAATTGTGTTCATCACACTCCTTGAGCCTCCTGCACAAGTGAGACCATCTCAGCCAGGGCTACCTCAGCAATGTCCAGAGACAGGAGTGAACACTGACAGGTGGCAGCACACAGATACACACACATCCCACACACAGTTTTTAGCAGAGCCTTTGCTACACCAACAGCCTCCCAGGTATGTGTCAGTTGTGAGTGTCTGAAATAAGTCTAAATGAGAATCAGTCAAAACGCAATATAACTTTTCTAAAAGCATCAAGTATTAATCTAAGTGCAAATTTAGACATTTAGTAATGAAGCTTACAGGGAAAAATTTCAGTATTTTTTTGCATTGCTGGTTTTTGCTATTCTGGTTGAAGGTTCTATTTTCTAGTTTTCTGATTTGGGTGGGAAAGAAGATTTGTCTTCCTCCATTCACTGTCATCACTCCTTTTTCACCTTTTCTTTCCATTTTGTCACCGAGAAAAAAAAATCCTGGCAGTGAAGTCTTCCAAAAATTCAAATCAAATTGCTGTTAGATGTACAGGAATAAAAATCCCATGGAATCCACAGTCAGTGCAACAATCAGCCCTCATTTATCACTGGCTGCCCCAGAGCAGTTCCACCAGAGCCCAGGATCCCACTGGTTCAATGCAAACAAGGTACATTCATCTCAGACCACGACAGGTTTCCTGGGAGAGCTACTGGCGTTTATTACAAACCACAGCAAACAGAATGATTCCCATTCCCTCTTCTCATCTGTTCTGCAGCTTTGCTGAGTTCAGCAGAGTTATTCTTGATTGAAATCAGTGAAAGGGAATATAAAATTGGGGTCCTGTGTAGGTTGCAATTCAAAGCAAACTGGAGTGAAAGAAACGCCCAGCTCCTCATTCTCTTTTCTGCAATGCTGTTACAGTGGAAATGAACTGCTGTGAGGGGGCAACTTCCACAGCTGGCAGCAGTGCTCGGCTGTGCTCTGGCTCCCTGAGTACAGACAATAAATGCAAACAATTGAGTCAGTGCTTAAATGGACAACTAGTCTCTTGAATACTCCAAAAAAAAGACAATTAGCCCCCTCTCCACCCCCATTGCAGCAACACCATTTTGCCCATTCTTTGCACCCTTCTCTTACCTCCTGCATGCTTCCTAAGGCTTGTCTTATCTCACAGTCTTCATGGTGAGAAGGGTTTGGCTGATTTAGATTGGCATCCCTAACCATGCGCTTACTAGGGCAGAGAGTTATTTTTACTGTTGTTCTCATCATCATCATTGTGAAGCAACCTGACCAACTGCAAATGAATATTAAAAAGCAGGAACAGTCTTATCAGCTTTTTGGATGGTCTGAACCTTTACAATTGCTGGATAAATACCCTTTGAACTTACCTGGACACTTGTCAGTCCTTGTGTTTCATTATCTAGGCCCTGATTCAGCACCAGTTTATGCCTGTGCCTCATTTCATGTGTTGTGATTGTCCAGCAAAGAGCACAGCTTCCCTGGCAGATCAGCCCAGCCCAGCCTATCTACAGCGCTTTAAAGCCAGTACTCTGGATGGAGTCTAGAAGAATACTAGCTCAGGGGATCTCCAAGAAAATTATGTTGCTGCTGTAACCTGTTCTTAAAGTTTTCACACTATCTCCCAGGCAGCCTCCACCTTTAAACTTCAGAGAGACTGTGCTGTTTATGGCAGAGACAATAAAGGAGACACAAAACCTGGGACTTTCTTAATTTTTACATCCAAAATAAAACTGTTGTTTGAGAGTTGCTCCCTAGCTGAAGTCTGTGGACCAACTGTAAGAACACAAGAAGAGAAAAGGGCTTCCACAGAGCAACAAAAAGACACATTTAATTATGGGAATCCACACTGCCAGTTCTTGCAGCTTACTCCAAAACTAAGTTTATTTAGCATTTGAACTCATTAACTTCCAATTCAGTGAAGCACTTAAGCATGCAAGTAGTCCTATTAACATCAGCAAGATTAGTCAGATATTCAACACTAAGTGTGCATTTAAGTGTTTGGGCCACATCAGAGTTTAAACTGGCTCAAATCACCTTCCCACATCCAGCTGTAACACTGGTGCTCAGGACTCCTGTAGCATTCCTCAGCAAGACCACTTAAAGCATTTTACATAGCAGCATGACCCCACTACCCCCATATTAGTAACG